GAGATTCGATCAAATTATGTGTACGATTGTAATTCGATTTGTGTACGTATGCACGTTAAAAAAGTTTATTCCTCGATGTACATTTCTGTGTACGCTAGCGGACAAAGCGTTATCGAATTTCTCGTCTTCCCTTTGAAAGCAAGGTTTGAACTTGTTTACCGTGTGAATTCATCCTTGTAACATATAACGAACAAGTAATCGTAAAATGGCACTACTTTAATCCATTAATCGGAATGAGTATATACACATACATGTATAGTACATATTTCGTTTAGCGTGTATCCCATATATTTCGTACATCTTGTTTTTCATGTACTTTATGTGACGATATGTTCTACAAACATATAAAGATCGATCGACGGAAAAGTTGAGGGTGATGTCCGAGCCTTATAGGTATAAGATTCGATCATTGCCCGCTGCTATTCATACCGAGTCAGCAAACAATTTGACGAGCTTGATTTCATGAAACCTTAATCGGGGGAAGAGTATTTATTATGAAAAATAGAAAAATCTCATTTTCACGGTATGTTCCATTAGATTATTCTATTATTACTGCTATTTTCCCTTTCATGTTTCTGTACACAGCCGTAATAAATAAGTATATATGTATATATATACTTATACATATACATATAGCAGTAATTAGACAATGGTAATGTCCAACAGTTGGTATCCTATTCATTGTTGCATAGTTGTATTTCATTATAACGTAGTTGCTTCGACTTTCTCGTTTGCTTTCCTCTCCTTACCCGATCACACGATCTATCTGTAATTCGAATCTAATTCTTTCACTACAAGCTGACACAGTCGATTTGTTTATCAAACGAAAGAATGCTAATAATTCGCGTTTGCGTGGGCGTGTACGTACGCTTGAACACTTTATACAACCTTCATGTTTCTCCATCGATACTGTATTTTTCATTTTTTTTTTTTTTTTTTTTGCTCAATAAGAGTCTTGCTTACATAAACGTTTAAACACAATTTCTCACAGGTCTTCCATAATCGAAGCAACCTCGTCAAGAGTCAGGGAGAAAACACGACTACTTACATAGTACATTATACTGTTTCATATTTAACCGTTTCGTTTCAGATTTCCCGCTGATTAATTCTGTTATACAGATATCCTATTTTTCAAAACTCGTAATTTTCCATTAAATTGAAATAATTGCGCCGTGAAAGTAGACTATACTTTCCGTACGTTGTATAGCGCACAATATTGAATATTAATGCTTTAGTAGAATTCAAATGATAACAATAAAACTGTCACCTGGTATGTCTCATTTGTCGTCTTTCCCTTCATTCTCGACGTTAAATGTGGCATGTTTCAGATAAATTTTTTTTTTTTTTTTTTTTTTTTTTTTGCTCAATAAGAGTCTTGCTTACATAAACGTTTAAACACAATTTCTCACAGGTCTTCCATAATCGAAGCAACCTCGTCAAGAGTCAGGGAGAAAACACGACTACTTACATAGTACATTATACTGTTTCATATTTAACCGTTTCGTTTCAGATTTCCCGCTGATTAATTCTGTTATACAGATATCCTATTTTTCAAAACTCGTAATTTTCCATTAAATTGAAATAATTGCGCCGTGAAAGTAGACTATACTTTCCGTACGTTGTATAGCGCACAATATTGAATATTAATGCTTTAGTAGAATTCAAATGATAACAATAAAACTGTCACCTGGTATGTCTCATTTGTCGTCTTTCCCTTCATTCTCGACGTTAAATGTGGCATGTTTCAGATAAATCCCAACCATCTTCTACTAGCGATGAACGTAACCATGTAAAGCCTCATCCTATATTAACTCATCAAAAGGCGCCAAAACTGCGCTTTCTCTCCTCCGTAGAGTTTAGGCACTCATCAGGTAAATTTCGAGCCTGTATTATAAATAAATAAGTTATAGTTACGACAGATCACGATATTACCGAATTCGTGAAAATAGCATTAGCGATTTACACTAAAATGTAAATAATAATTATAGAAATTAATATGTCTACTAAATTGATATGTGTTATACAGATAGAAACATTTATGAATCCGAATATTACGATATCTAAATTATCGGATAATGGATGTTTATAATAAAGCTGCATTACAATGTTTAACAAACGCTAAAAGAAATTCAGACATCGAGATTTTCAATAGAATTTCTATAGATCAATCTGTACATACATACATGTATGTATGTATACATATATTTGCAACGTAGAAGTATAGAGATAACAGGTCAAATCGAAGTTTAACAACTTTTTGTTCCAATTTTTTATATTTTATCGAATATGCATATTGATCTAACGGAAACGTAGAATATAGTATGATGAAGGGGTTACCATTAGAAAAGATTCAAGTTAATCCATTTCATTCGTTTCATTTATCTTTGTAAATACAACAAAATCTTCCGATGATATAAATCATTAGCATGTTTAATTATTTTCTATTATATCTTATCGTATATCATACTTCGCTTCATTATCATTTGCACGGTATTTTTATCAACTAATACAAATAATACAAAAACACGTACCCTTCTGCCATACCTATGTTAATCATATTTATCGTATTTAGCGATACTAGAAACACTTTTAGTGACAAGATAAAGTAATCAAAGTAACCATTGTGAAAAGTACACTCTATACATACAATATTGTACACTCTCTATATCTCAATATTGCCCCTCTCTTTTCTTGTTTGATTCCTTTCTTTGCACATACATACAATTGCCAGATGCTCGCTCTTCTACAGTCCTTCCAAGCTTACTTGTTTCAAATTATAGCGAACAAAACGTACTACAACATAAATATGCATATACAAATCAGTTACATGACTAAGCTTCTAATTGTAAAAGTACTACAGAAAAGAAAAGAATATTACTTCCTTTATCGGATATGGTTATGAGCATGACTTTCAATAAATTCACTGAATATTTCATTCCTTTTAAAGCGCCTTTAAAACAGAATGTATAGTGTACAGTGTACATATGTAATGCGATGCTAAAACTCTATTCTTATATTATATGAATACATTATACGTATCAAAGACAAATACGCGAAATGCGATTAGGATTTAATATTATTCGTATTTCGATCTATAAATTAGATAAAAAAAGGAATAATCGCTTAATAAATATTTATTCGTGGTAGAGATAGTGCGATGTTAAGACAATTACATTTCACGAAACGTAATTGTTATTTGAAAAACGCTTCGGGTTACAATTTGTAGTTATGGAAGAGCAGCATGGATAGATTGTAGAATAGAGAGTAGAATTTTATGCGCAAAGAGAATTAATCGCGTGTTATTTCAATAGGGGAAACCGTGACGAGCCAACTCAGCCCAACCAGTCCAAACGAGGACAGTTCAGGCGAATCCCGCCCAGACAAACCTCGATTACAACGCTCTATGGGTCAAAGCAAGAAGACTTTTCGATTGCGAAAGAGTCGAAGAAGTCACGTAGAAGTAATAATATGTAGAAATATCAGATATTACTGACAGTGTTAAACGATATTACGTTTAATTCGATAATCGTAACGATTCGAACGGTTTAAGAATTTTAAGCACATCTTATTTGCTTTTAGATACTTTTATTTGTACCGTTGATGATACAGTTGAGTTAATTTAAATATTTTAGGCACGATCCTCACACAATGATTTGGAATTTAATTTTCAGACAGTGCAAGCGAAATCAGAACAAAGTAATAACGTATCACAACCAACGACCCAGTCATCGATACTAACACCACCGATTCCAGTGATGGAACCGTCGAGCTTCAGCATCCCCTCCGATTCGTCGTCGATTCGTTCAAGAAGAAGTTCGTCTATCCGACAATCGGACTGCGAAAAGGGCAGTAATTTGCTGAGCGATCAGCAGCAAATGCATTCTAACCTTCACCATCACCTATACCATCACCATCATCATCACCATCACCTTCACCTTCAAACATCAGATGCTTCATGGGACGAAGATACATCCAGTACGTCCGGTTATCGTGAGTCGTACAGTATGCAATTGGTGTCACTAGAAAGCAGCAACAATAACACTCGTCCAATTCAAGCACCGCCTTTAGCATCGCCAGATTTGAACGACATGCCCTCGACTAGTAGCACTACGACTCACATTTTCGAGGGAAGCTCGCCAGATTGCTCTATCAACGGAAGCGGAGGAGAGAAAACTGCATTGTTGACAGCTAGTCAAAGAACAACTTCTCAACATTCTCTGTTGATGGTTTTCCCGAATCAAGACGAAGATACGTTGATCTAAGGCAATTAACGAATATAGTCGATGTATACCATGACGAGACTGATTAAAGCGTCAATAACCTCTAATTGCTAACGGGAAGTCTCGCAGTACATATCCATGTGCTAGTATTATTTGCCACTTGAATCGTTCTTTCAATTTCGGTTTAATATACGATACCTTTCTTTTCCAATATGTTTAGGTGTTAATAGGAAGAGAGTACTATTTTCCGTATAAGAATAAGCGCGAATGGCACGTACCGTCGATTACCGTCAACAAAAAATTGCGTTAGCAATTAAAGGTTTAGTCGAACACGACAATGTAGAGAATTTTCGTAACGTAGAACGACTGAGAATTAAGAAACTGATCTAATACGGTGTTCAGAGTTTTCAATAATGTTCTCCGTTGACCGGAAAGACCAATTAAAAATACATATGTTGAGAGCCTAGCCTCGTGGTCACGGAATATGTACTTTGTAATACTTCGACGAGCGTAGCGAAATTACGACCACGTGGATGATTAGGCCTAAATATTTGTATGTCACGACTCTGTAAAAAACGAACATTTGAAATAAAAATACTTTAAGAGAATCACAATGAATTTTCTCTCCGTTCTTATTACAATCCTGAATATTATCCACCTTGATCTTAATCTCCAGACTGTGATCTGTAATTCGTCGCATTGTCGATTCGCTAATATTATTAATTTCTCGATTATCATACAAAAGGAATCAGTATAGAGAGTCGCTAAACAAAATTATTCGTTCGATATTTTCAAAAATATTCCTTTAATGTTCCATTTTCGTAAAAATTCATATATATATATAGATTCTAACATTAACGTTTTCGAATAATCGACATCGATATTAATAATACGAATAATATCGTCACTTGTGATGTGGAAGATCGACGCTAAGCTCCGCGAGTACATAAGATAATGCTGCAAATAGGGCTGTTCCCTTATCAAGAGCTTCCGGATCTTCAACCAACATAGTATCCGCATTCGTATGATGGTAATAAAAGTATTGTTCGTCTTGAGTCCAAAGAGAACCTCCTGGTACTCCTGCATCTACCCAAGAAGCGATATCAGGGCCGTCGCAGGGACTACGAAGCTTAATATCTCCCATGATAGAGAACAGCCTAAAAATAAAAAATAAAAAAAAATTAGAAACGTCGAACAAATGAAAATTAAGCAATTATCCTTGCTAGCGTTCTTATTTAATTTTCTTTTGCAAACTAACTTCATGATTCTTTCTAGGATGCACACAACTTCTTCGGTTCCGGTAACTTCAAAACCTAATGGCTTGAACGTGCCCCCATCCGATTCCAGCACGAACTGTAAATTCTTCTCTTCGCTTTTATGACTTTTGATATAATGATTACCTCCTATGATTCCAAGTTCTTCAGCCGTCCACATGATCATTCTATAGTCGTAATGAATTTCACGTTAAGCCAAGTTACATAAATTTAAACGTAATTTAATTGTATAATTTAAATTTCCACTAAGTACTTCTTGTTTTTTAACTAAAACGTTATTCCCCAAAATGTTCACCTTACTGTTCGTCGTGGTTTATAATTAAGGTGTTTCAATAATTTTAATGCTTGCCACGAAATAAATGCACCACCGCCATCGTCCATTGCGCCCTGACCAACGTCCCAACTGTCGATGTGACCAGATATGACTACAACTTTCTCCGGTGCCTTGGAACCTTTCAATTCGGCTATTACATTTCGTGATACTTTGTTCGGCAAACTTTTCGCCTGCATTTTTAAATTTATTTCTAAAACTGCACCTAAAAGATAAATAAATCGTTAATATCCTCGATGGTAACAGAAAAAGTCTACATGACGCCATGTCTACCTCTATCAGACATCCTTCTCAACAAGCTGGCATCTTCAACCGTGATGCAAGCTACCGGAATTTTAGTCACATTCTCGCCATACGTTTGCATACCCGTATGTGGGGAATACAAAGAATATGGTGTAACGGATCTAATTAAAGCAGCAACAGCACCATGTTTCGATGCTTCTGTTGCTCCTTCGCCTCGATACTTTACCGTTTTATCATACGAAACATATTTCTCATTAAATACAACGATCTTTCCTCGGACCTAAACCGACCGAGAAAATGGTACAAGTTATTTAAACGAAATAAAGCATAATTGTTCTTTGGAAATTCTGTAATATATTCACCTCGTGCTTTCTTTCTTCAAGTTCTTTGAAACTGTTCACGACGATAGCCTTTGCGGTTATTCCTTCGGGAGGAGTCCCAACACTGTAACCTAATCCCAGAAGAGCAATATCTTTGCGTCTTGGCTTTAAAAGCGTCGCTGATTCCTTTCCTCTGGGAAATAAATAAATATTTCAGCAATTTACATTTTAATATTTAGCAGGTAAGAAAGAAACGCTCATTGACAAGTATTACCTGACCCAATGTGGCACACTAACGGGTTCACCGTGTACATTATCCAAACCAAACTCCAAAGATTTATTTAACACATAATCAATGGAACGCTCTAGCACTGCAGTACCAGTAAATCTCGGACCAAATGTGTCAACGAAGTAAGCTAATTCATTCCAAGTCGTTCCTTTGAACGATCCGTATAAAGTCTCATTTATTATAGCATGAACAAAGGGTTCGTACGAGTCTATCTCTTGTATAAGGCTCTGCGGCAGGTTACACGTATTAACGCTGTTTGTTTCATCACTCTCCAGTGCTATCGCAAATTGTAGTCGGAAGAGCCATGTGATTATTAAAAATTTGATGGATAAAAACATGTTGTTGAACAGGATAAATCCTTCTAGTTTCCTCTGAAAATATTTCGTTTCTCGGCATTAGCAATGTTAGTTTCATTCTAGATCTTAAAATTTACTTTCACAATGTTAAATAGATTAGAAAAATAATTAAATTATTAACTAATGTACTTATTCGATAAGAAATACGCTTGGTTAATGGTGTACGAAATGAATTTCTATCGAATACTTTATCAAATTATTAATTTATCTGTTGTGATAAGAGTATCTTTTATGCACATCGATTACCGTTCAATCATAATTTATATATCAGATAACTAATATATTAATACGATTAGATCTACGTCTGTCTTGAATATAAAAAAGAAGGTAGAGTTTAAAAAGATGTGTTTACAATATTTTTTAAATATTAAATTATAAGAATAAAATCACGACTATACCTTACTTTTGTATTTTCTTCAAAGCAAATAAAACAAAATCAGACAGGTTTAAGTATATATGCGCATAGTTGCAATAATACAGAATCTCATCGCAAGAATCGCCTGTCAACTAATGTCTCATCGGTTTGACTCAAATATATATAGACGTACAGAATACGAGTAGAGGGGAATCGGAAACTGGAGAAGAATGGAGGAGAAGGACTCTGCTTATCTTCAGAAGATTTATCTATAGTATTCATTACGGACTATAGTTCACGGTTCATGCGATTGTGGTATATATACAGCAAAAGTATTTAGACTCTAGATCTTAGAGTCAAGAATCCATATATATCCATATATATCCGTATATAATCTATATATATATATATATATATATATATATATATATATGGATTATATATATATATCATAAGATTATAAAATCAATCAATTAATCATAAAGATTATAAAAATATATCTATTCTAGAAATATATATATATATTTATATATATATATAATAAATATAGATTCTAGAAATATATATATATATATATTCTATATATATATATATATTTCTAGAATAAATATATTTTTATAATCTTTATGATTATCTTACCATAAAATCGGTCTACACTGTAATTCAGTTATTAAAGATTCGATATCAAAATAGTCCTTCATATTCATCGTTACATACTATCTATTTACCGCTTGGACTTGAGTATCTATTAGAATATTAAACATAATAATATAAAACCAGCCGCCATTCTGCCGTTTAGTGTCGCCGCGTTGTCGCACGGCGCTCTCTATATGATCACAGGCTTACTCTCCCGCATCGTCTCTTGAAATATATCAATTTTAACGTGTGATTAGTTTTATAATATTAATTATACATACTATGCAATAATAGCACTGTATTTTACCTCATATATCTCATGCTATATACCACTTGAAGTAACAAAAGAGGATCATTTTACAGCTACAGATTATATCGACTTTGGTAGTTACGTTGATTATAGTTCTCAAAGTCTCCGTTCTAAATTGCAGAGGGCACAAGAAAACAGATTTTCTCCGAAATTGATAACTTTAATTTCTATATGTGATCATAGGCGAGATAGAGACACAAACGAGATCACAATTCTGATAGAGGCACCATTGTGGTATAGGATAAGCTTAATATTTATGCATGCGTTTTTATCATTATGCTTCATTGTGGCTGTATACGGTTTACCGTTTACAGATGATACTAAAAATGGTTTAAATACCCCAATTATGCAGAGAAATGCATTTTGTATATCATTTATGTTAAATTATTCTGCTAACGTAGTATCACCACAGAGTATCGTCTGTGATATCACATAAAGTTTGTACATATTCACTGCACAAATATCACCATTGACTAAGAACAAGATAGACATGACATTAAATAGAATTTTGTCTCAGGTTATGAAATACCAACCTACTAAAAATCAGAGTGTTTCTTACGCCCTCTGTACGGCTATAGAATAGACGTGACGTTTCTGGCACCGGCCTAGCGACGTCTTGTTGTTTTATCGACATAACTACCAAGAACTTTTGTACCTATCGCTGCTCCGTGTTTGATACCCGAGGCACAGACGAACGTATAGCAATCGTATTATTACTCATTGTCACAAAGTATCGACTCGTCGATATACAAAGTCAATGGAGAGAGTTTGTTTTTTCACCATTTTTGTATCATTTCCAACTTTACCGACTTAGGATAGGGTACAGTAGACGATCTCGTCGTAGTCTCCATTCGTCAAAGGGGATAAAATCTTTGTGCACTCGAAACATTTTCCAAACTTGTGGCAACTGATTTTGATTTATTCTATTCTCTAAAAAAATCGTTCATATGGTACTCATTTTAAAGCGATGGAAGAAGTAAGAGAATCTGATGGAACTTTATATTCGATACAACTCTAGATTTACAGAAAATAGGACATATTCCATAGATAATTTTATTTAGATAGATAATATGGTTAAACTGGATTTTTTGCAACGATTGGAAGCGTTCTCAAAAGCATTTGGATTTCTATGACTTTTATTCTCAAAAATGTATCTTACAAAAACTTTTCCGAATATAGTTTTTTCTTATTTTTGCGGCATATATTGTATCATGCTTGAGGAATACATGCAACGATAAAATAAAAGAGACCTTCGTTTATTAATAGGAAATAATGTTTATTATACAGTGTACATATTTATTAACTTCATTTATTTTATTTCTGTTATAAATTTTATATTAATAATTATATTATGCTTTGCCGAGCGACGAATGCCTTGATCAGTGTGCGCTTAATCTATAACAATCTCCGTAAAAAGTATAGAAACTTCTGCTTTTTATTTTGTTCGTTTGTTTGTTTTCGATTCGTTCCCACCCTTAATCCCTCGTTCCAACACCGATTCTTCCCCCCAACATTGATTACCGTGAGTTTATACCACCAAAGAGTATCGCCAAAATATGTTGCGCTGAAAACGGCATAATCGTTCGGCATATACAAATAATAGTACTGTCGAAGTTAAAGTAATTGGCGGGTTATTTATTTTTCTTTTGTTCACTTTTTCCGGTTTCGCCATTTCCTGGGAAATGGCGCGCCGCCGCCCTCGCGCCGTTTGTGGCCGCGTGATCATTTTTTTTCTCAAAATTTTCTTCCCTTGAAATACTTCACCCTAGGATTAGTATCTGTTATCAATTATTTTTATAATATGCGTAATAATATAAATAATGTTGTTAATATAGCTATAATGATTACCGTTTCTTTAATGGTAAACTATCTGAATGGTACATTTTTTCTGCTAATGGCCATGTCCGTTATAGCTAATTATGTAGTCTGTATGCGAGCTTCAAATGGGATAAGGTACGTCGTACACAGAACTTTTCGGCTCGGCGTAGTTTTTTTTTTTTTTTTCTTGTTGTTAACGTAAGAAAAAACGAAGAGACTAAACCAAGAATAAGAAAAGAACTATTTGACAAATACAGGAACACGTTTGTGGCGCGAAAATGCGAACGTCGAGGAACCTTTCTTCGTTTATCGATTCGTGACTGTTTCATCGCGGTTATTGTTCTCTTTTTTCTCCTTAGAATAGATCTGATCGATTACATTGATCGAATCGATAGCGATAAAAATCAAATATACAGGAACGTCTTCCGCTCGATAGGGTGACACAAATATGTACTTTCGCTGTGACTTTGAAAAGTAACGTCGTAAATAAACAGCGTGGAAGCTTTGCATGCCGAGGAATAAAAGAAAAAAAGGAACTGTTATCAACGACACGCAAAACTACTTTATTATTCACGATACTCGACGAAACGTAGGTTCCCTCGAAGTACGCTAAAAAATTTTCACTCCCATTCGCTCAATCCCTTTCGCTCGGTCACGTTTTCTCTCTTTCTCTCTCTCTCTTTCTCTCTCTTTGCTTTCTCTCTCTCTCTCTCTCTTTATCTCGCTCTCCCTTCTTCTCATTCTCTCTTCTACTTCTCGCACACGTCACCGTGTTCTAGTCTTGATATATAAATGTACGACGTTAAATACGTGTCATCCAGATTTTATGTTGGCATGTGTGTGTGTGTATGTATGTGTGTGTGTGTGTGTGTGGTGTGCGTGTGCGCGTGTGTGTCTGTCAATGAAATTTCATATTCTTTTTTATTCTCGCTTGCATGAATGTATGTATCTAGCTTCCTAACATAAGTGTTAAGTATAATTATTTTTTATTTTATATAATATATTAGTTTTTTTCTTGTTATAATAATAATAATAATAATCATCATCATCCGATAATAATCATAATCGATAACCATAATAATAGCAATAATAATATTAACCATCATCACCGTCGTGATCATAATCGCGATGATGCCGTTAATTTGTCATATCGATATACATTACATATTTATATTACACGTTGCTTATGAAAATAATAATCCAAACTGGCGTATCTTCCGTTTACGCTGTTTTCCACGTTTTTCCCATCTCCACGTTTTCTCCGCTCATCCCCTTATTTATTAACCGCTCTCCTCTCCTTTCCCCCATCGCCCCTTGCCATTCTCGCCCTTCTCCCATTTTATCTTTCTTTTATCATAGACTTTTACAATAACAATTCTAGCGCCGGTAGAAACGGCCGAACCGCAACGAGTTTTCGAGACGGGACTCGAAAACGATCAACCAATCGCATCGCGATTCGATATAACTTTATTTTACACCGACTTTACATCCTTGCCGTGAAATTTATTAACATTCGTAACCCCACGACCTTCGCCGTTCTTCGCGTACGTTTTAAAATTTTACCGACCACCCGCTACGGCTACGAAGACAATCTAAAAGTCGTACTACTATTTACAATCGTGACAAGAGTCTGGTTCAACGTTCTTCCGCGCCTCATTTTGGTACCTCTATCACTGTGACGTTATTCGTCGTTATATCCGATGCATACGTTTCTCAAGGGAAAGGAAAATCGTTTCAACGTCGTTCGTTCTTTGCGAATCAATATCGAATTATTTTATTACGAAACAATATCTTTTTTCATTATCGTGCCGTACTTGTCTTCGAAGCCTCAGCAAGTCGTATCAACCTTCTCGTTTAATTTTTCATGTCTAAATACATATACAATATCGAAATATTTCTACAACCGCGTGTCCTATCATTGTTTCGCCTATGCATTCGTAAAATTTGTCGCGTTGATATGCTAAAACACTCCTTCCCTCTTATCATACTACCATTATAAATTATTTGTTATATACGTCGCGTCGCTTCGATTTTCTGTTTGCCACTTTTCATTTGTTCGCCTCGCAGGCTTCCCAAAGGTTATCTCCTTCCTTTTACTTCAATCACTCGTCCACTCGCTTGCATACAATGATCTGTTCTTTCGTCGTGTATGTTTCTTTTGCAGTAATACGGTAACCTCTGTTCGACACTATAAGCATAATTATTAGCGTCGGCAATAGCGACAAGAATAATAATATGACAAAAGTAATAAGGATAACGATATTACTGATCATCAAAGATAATAATCATAATGATAATGATGATGATAATGATGATGACAATGACGATGACAATGACAATGACAATGACAATGACGAAGATAATAATATTAATAATAATGGCAATAGTAATCAATAATCAATAGCAATGATTTAACAATATTATCCGTAATAATAAATTTATGATACGACGAAATTTATAAATTGAGTTTCGTATTATATCATTAGCAAAGATTAATACTGTCGCACTTATGATAAATAGATCGCACTATGTCCGCCTTTTTTCCCAATTGATTT